CTAGAACAGGCTGCTCAGAGCCCCATCCAACCTGCCCTTGAACATCTCCAGGGATGGAGCCCCCACAGCAACTCTGGGCAGCCTGTTCCAGTGTGTCACCACCTCATCTCTAACCTAAATCTCTCTTCTTTCAGTTTAAAACCATTATCCCTTGTCCTCTCACTGCAAGCCCCTTTGAGAAGACCCTCCCCAGCTTTCCTGTAGGCCCTTCAGGTCCTGGAAGGCCACTATGAGGTACTCCCGGAGCCTTCTCTTCAGGCTGAACAACACCAACTCCCTCAGCCTGTCCTCACAAGAGAGGTGCTCCAGCCCTCAGATCGTTTTTGTGGCCCTGCTCTGGACACGTTCCAACAGGTCCACATCTTTCTTGTGCTGGGGGCACCAGAGCTGGATGCAGTATTCTAGGTGAGGTCTCCCCAGGACAGAGTAGAGGGGCAGAATCACCCCTCTCCATCTGCTGGCCACACTTCTTTTGATACAGCCCAGGATGGAGTTGGCCTTCTGGGCTGCAATTGCACATTGGTGGCTCATGTCCAGCTTTTGATCCACTAGTACCCCCAGGTCCTTTTCCACAGGGCTGCTCTCAAGTGTGACCTCCCCCAGCCTGTATTCATATCTTGGGCTACCTTGGCCCAGGTGCAGGAGCCTGCACTTGGCCTTGTTGAGCCTCATGAAGTTCACCTGGGCCCACTAGGTGGATGGAGCCAGGCTCTTTTCAGTGATGTCCAGTGATAGGACAAGGGGTAACAGGTGCAAGCTGGAGCATAGGAGGTTCCACGTAAACATGAGGAAAAACTTTTGCACATTGAGAGCGACAGAGCACTGGAACAGGCTGCCCAGAGAGGTTGTGGAGTCTCCTTCTCTGGAGACATTCAAACCCCACCTGGACTCATTCCTGTGTGATGTGCTCTGGGTGATCCTGCTCTGGAAGGGGGGTTGGACTAGATGATCTTTCAAGGTCCCTTCCAACCCCTAAGATTTCTGTGATTCTGTAAAGATTAAATAGCTGTGTTAAACTTTAGCAAGAATGTTATGTGACATTCATGAAGAGAAGCACTAAAGTGTATTGTGAAATACTTTTAATAGTTGGATGCTTTGGAAATTAGAAAACAAAAAATTGATTTCTTAGCATTTGCCTTGGATGTTCCTGTTGGCCTTTTTCAGGAGCTCATTTAGTGGAGGAGAAGCAATCCTTTTAATTATCAGACTTCTCATCTTCTCTTACCTCAGAAGATTATGACCAGGTCATTTATCTTTTGTTAAGTTACTGAGTTGAGCTTCTGAGGCTGCTTTGCAATTACTGATATTTTTTCTAACTTCAAAAGGGTGAACAGACCTATTCTAATGTTCTTGTGGGTTTGACTTCTTAATTTTTTTTCCACCTCCCCACTCTGATCTCCACACACAGCAGCATCTATGGAAGGTGTACTGGGACTACTGGTGTGCCCAACCCTTGCATAAGTATGTGTTACCTTGTAATTTCATACAGAGAGGTGTGATGTGTGTTTTACTTGGTTGTTATCCTACTTTACTCACTTACATGATAAAGCACAGCAAAGCTTTCACTGGATGAGGTGAAGCCAGGATGGCTTGCTGTAACCTCTGCTGGCTCTTCTAAAAAAGCTTTTTGGTGTTTTCTTTCTTTTAGCTGTGATTGCAAACATCTTCTACTTCCTGAACATTTACAGCCATGGCAAGATGCCATCCCACTGTGAACAGCGCTTCCTTCCTTGTGAGATTGGGTGTGTCAAGTACTCCCTGCAGGATGGCATAATGGATCATTTCCATCACTTCATAGATCCAGGTGAGTTCTAAGGGAGACAAGAGGTAGTTTGTCTTGCTTTGCGGGGAGAGAGAGGCTTTCTAGTGTCACTGCTGCCCATGTTTGATTTCTGGTATTGAGAGGTTTATTTCTTTGACTATAAGAAATGTTTGGACTTTTTAAATTATCAGAGCAGTGCTGGTTGTTTCTGAAGAGATGAAATTTAAGCGCCAGAACTGCATGAAGTTTCAAAGAGGGTAGAACAAATCCAGCAGGATCTTACAATGTTTGTGCTTTATACCTCATGCCAATTAATGTTCCTCTTAATTGGACACAAACACACATGCTATAGAACATACTTTGGTTTTTAAAATGCATATAATTGAGAAGAACTTTTAAAAAAATAGTTGTGGAACTTGTATGAGGCCACAAAGGAAAAATGAAGCTATTTCTGTACATGAAGCTGTGGTGTATAGTTGAGAATTAAGGATCTGTCACTGAGGATGTTGAATGACAATTGTTCTTTTTTCTCCTGTCTCTTCTGCAGAAGTACCACCACGTGGTTTTCGGTACCACTGCCAGGCTGCTAGTGAGTATCAAGGGAGAAAACGAATGGTATACAAAGGTGTATTATTTTAGATTCAGCTTATCTGATCCGTATCCAAACATTTTTTCAAGTCTGCAGTTCTTCCTTCTGGGAACTCATCACATTTCAATGAGAAAGAAGTGACAGAGCAGCTTGTTGCAGTTGCCTTTTTTATGTTTCTTGTACCCACAAACGGCAGAGCACTTCATGCATTTTGTCAGTGGCAGTTATTTGTATTCTGTCTTCCCATTTTAGTTAACTCAAAGATACTAGTTTGTATTTAAACCTGAAGTGTTTTGCAGCTTTACTTATATCACATAGTTAAAGTATTTATAACCTTATTGTGTCTGGCTGGGCCTGCCCCATTTCCCCTGTGACTGTTGTGCAGTGTGTATAGATTCCAGTTAGTTTCTGTTAGGTTACTTCCTCCCTCTATGTACAGGGGGAATAAACTTGGCCCATGTTTTTCTATGCCCAATACTTAGATAATGGCCTTCTTTTAAAAGGGATAAGTGTATCTGCATGTGTGTTTGCTCACAGCCTGGACCTGCCAATCTTCTGCTGGGGAAGCAGGGTTTTGATAGACCAGTCGCAGACTCTGCCTGGAGAGGAGGTGTTTGTGTGTATACATATATGTATATAAAAAGATAGAAAGGAGAGGGGAACTGTATCGTTTAAGGAAACAGGACTTCTCATAACTTGTGGTTGTTTTTTTTCCCCACCCTTCACTAGGTGATGCCACTCATAAGATCCCTATCTCTGGGTTGAATCTTTCACGTACTGGTTATGCAGTCGTCTTACGGGAACTCCTGGAGTTTATCCAGCCAGGCAGTGGCGGCCGGCCTTGCTTCTACTGCAGGGTAGGGTCAAGGTCAAAGTAAGATGCTCTAAATCAGAATTTCTGATTTCACTTCTGTTGGATGACTAAGGAGATGCCTCACTCTAAAACTCAATCAGTGTGCAAATGAGTGGGAAAAGACACTCTCTTCCAAAGTTTCCCAATTCCATGCAGGAAAAAATAGCCCCTAGAAGAAGCTAACCTTTTTATAAAGCAGAGACCTAATTTTCTGCCTTCTTATTTTCAGCCTGCATTTCTGGCACTAGTCTACTGATGAACATTTTACTTGGTCTCTGATACTGTTTTGGCTTAGGTTAAAGGCTTTTAAGATTGACTTAAATTGGTTGTGCTGAATAATAGTCACACAATCCTTTTTTTTTTACCATACATCTTAATTTTTGCTCAAATTTCATTTGCCAGTGATCAAAACTGAATATTAAGATTCAGAGGCATTCAAGCTTCATGACAGCTATATTATGTTTTGACTCAATTTGAGCCTAATTAGCAAGGTGGGAGGGTCAAGATCTTGGGCTGCATCCATAAATACAGGGCTCTGAGGAAGCACGTGTATGTTCAGTCCCACAAACACTGAATTTTGCTTCGGAGGTGATTTTTTTCAGATGTAGTCAGGAGTCTTGCAGATACCAGAATTATGTACTGTACTTTGTCAGTATAACTAAAATTTTTCTTTCCTCTAGTCTAACGACAGATTCCAAATTAGCTGGTGTCTCAATCGAATGGCTAGTGTAACAGGTGGGAAACTGATCATTTTTGGCTTTCCCTCCCCCACTCTCCCCCTTCCCCAAGAAGTAAGGGTTATGTAATCATGGGCAGCTGTATTTGTCAAAAAATCATCGGGTGTCAAAGGTTTAATAAAGCTGGTACTGATAGCTAGAACTACTTTGCATGCTTCTCCCTCCTGTCCTCCCCATTAGTGTCAGTAGAACAGCAGCATGATCAGCTGACTCGCTAATGAGCACATATATAGAACAACATCCACTGTTTCTTGCTCAGCCAATTAAAGGAGCAGTAGAGACACTGAGATTACTGTGAAGGTGAGTATATGGTAGCACATAGGAAAACTAACAGCTTCTGAGGATACATAATTACTGAGGTGGAGAAAATCATGAGAATATAGGATGACCCACTTTTCTTGGAAGCTAGGTTTTATTAAAACTGCTGGTGCAATAACCTGTTAAGGTTTACAAGAGCTTTGATGCTCTGGTAGGAGACTGGGCAGTGAGCAGGGACTGACAGAGAAGGGAGTGGAGCTGAATATTCACTGACACATTTGTTCTCCTGACCTTGGTTTTCTCTGAACTGTAGGCATTGAGAGCCTTCCAGAGGTTCTTGCTGTAGAAGACCTGGTAATAGAACTATACCGGAAGAAATACCAAAAGGAGCCATCCAAGACTTGGGTGTCTAGAGAAATGGATGTCTTCCTGTGGGATTTCTCCAGTAATACCAGGTACATTGGATTCTTCTTTGTGGAAATGTGTAATCACCTGATGTGTATTGGTGCCCTTCACACAGCTTGTGTGCTGCTGGACTAGAACGCTCTGCAGGCTGCCTAATCAGAAATGCTCCTTGTCACATCGTGAATACCACTGGAAATGAAAAATACTTTCCCAAAAGAAGTGCAAAGATAGATGGCTTTTTAATGCTGAGTCTGAGGCCTGAATGTAAAGGAGGGGTAAACATGGGAATAAATTACATTGTGGTATTTAACTGGAGATCATAGGAGTGAGGAGATGCAAACTCTTATAAGTATGATTTGGATGGTACCTGGTTATTGCTATGTATCAAATGCCTCATGCTGCTACTGTGATGAGGGACAAGGTATGTTTGTAAGTGGTATAAATCAAGCTCTCAAGCATAAGCTTTAAGGTATTTCCTGTAGTTTTTCTTCCAGAATGAGTATTTTTTACTACACATCTGAAATCCTGTTTACTTTGTGGGATTTTTATTTTTTCCCTTTTTTTCTCTATGTGTCTTGAACGGTAACATTTTTCCTGCTTTCAAATTCTTGCATGTTTGTACAAAGAAGTGCTAGGTAGCTTATGGTGTTGCAGGGGAAAATTTAGTGATGACTCAGTTAACTTATAAATATACTTTGCTACTATTTTAGGTAAGAACCAGTAATTTGATCTTAAATTTTAGTAGTGGGTTTTTTTAATATTATGCTGGAAAATCTTTTTACAGTATGGGCTTTTTAAGATTCATTGGGATAATCAGTGTCATTTAATCTTTTTATAGTTAGGCAGTTTTCCATTTCCATTAGTGTCTTCACACTAGTGAGAGACAACAAGAATGGAAAAATGTACTTTAAAGCATTTGGAGAGGAAAGTGGAGATGCTTATACCGAGGGGAGCTGTTTTGCATTAATAAGAAACTTCAAATTGTTACCTTTAAGTTCCATTTGTCTCTTAGGATTCTCTTTTCTTCCCCCCACCTCAGCACGAAGCAGGTTGCCTATTAAGTATGTCTTTTAACTCTGCATGAACTACTTCAAGTTTAGTTATTGAATGCTGGTCCTCTGTGAAATTTCCAAGATACTATATGGTCACTAAGACAAAAAAAAAAAAAAAAATCTTTAATATTTGTTTCCTGTGCCTTCCGACCAGACCAACTATTCATGTTGATTAATGAGATGGATGCTTCTAAAATATGCCTGAACTTTATTTCATGTAGGTGCAAGTGGCATGAAGAAAATGACATAGTCTGCTGTGCTCTGGCATCCTGTAAGAAAATAGCGTGAGTATTGCTGAGGAGTTCTCTGCAGGATGATGACTTCCCATTTTGTTATAGGTTGATGGTTTTGGCTCTGGCTTCTCTAACTGCCTGGAGCATTGTAGTTCTAGATCTTGAGTTTTATGTATTCCCTCCACCCCCAGGATTTTGTTCTGTTTGTACCATTCACTATTGTTTGTATGGCTTAGCAGTAGGCTGTAAGTCTTAGCATTTAGGTGTAATGTAATTTCTGTGGTAGTGACGTCCATCACTCTGAGATCATCCTTTCACTATTTCTACTTCCTATTGGAGAGCTGAGAGAAGAAGAATTTGCATTAGAACTCAATTTTTCTTCAAAGGTTTAGTGTATGTGTATTTGGTGAGAAATTCTCAGTATGTTCTAGTATACAGCATCATTAAGGTTGGAAAAAACCTTTAAGATCATCAAGTCCCAACTGTCAACCTGACACCACCACGCCCACTACAACACTGTCCCAAAGTGCCACATCTACACGCTTTTTTAACACCTTCAGGGCTACCCACTTCCCTGGGTAGCCTGTTCCAGTGCTTGACCACTCTTTCAGATAATACAGTTTTCCTGATACCCGATCTAAACCTCCCCTGGAGTTTTATCTCTACTTTGGAAACTTCTCTACTGCCTTACATATAACTTAGATACTTAAGGGTCAGTAATCATTTTGGTGTGGGGGAAGGGGAAGTAAGTCATTAGGAAGCAGGGAAATGCCATTTGATATCTCAGTAGTAGTAGCACTTTGAGAGAGATAATTATGAATAGTCTTCAATTTAAAAGATTCTTACTATGTACTGCCATGTCTTGCAAAAAAAAGTTGCTTGTCACCCTTCTAAGTGGCAGGGCTTGATAGTGTGGGAAAGCAGTTGCAATTTCATGTGTAGCTGTAGAATTAGGCTGATGGTCTTAGAAGGATGTAGGGTAACTAGCTGCTGCAGTGGTGTCCTTCTGCCCTCTGTGCATCTCAGTCCATGGTTGCTTTTGTTTGTCAGATGAGGAACTAAAAATGCCCTGCTTCTGTACGTAAGCATTACATCCCTCTAAGCCAAACTTCTCTTGTTTTCTTTTTGTCTTTGTCAAGTTACTGCATCAGTAAATCTTTAGCTAATGTGTATGGAGTCTCACTGACAGCAGCTCACCTGCCTCCTCAAGACTCTGATTATGGTGAAAGCACAAATACCAAGATGGTGGTACTGGATGCTAGACGTTTTCAGGTCAGATTCTTTAGACTGGTATCCTGTTTTATTTCTAGTTAAATGCTCAAACATTCCAATTTCAGGTTAGCTGTTTTCTCTTTCGGTGCTGTCTTTTGTGACACATATTGGGCAGATTGATGGAAGAAAAACAGTCACTAGCTGGGTCATTTCTTGTGATTTTTTTTTTTTTTACCATAATTCGTAGGGTTTATGGATAGTTTTATATACTGTATTTTAGAAGACACGTATTATTTTGAATGTTTATATCTTCATACAGAAAGTGGAGGCTGGGGATTCTGGATATGTCAGACATTTTGCTTCTCCAAGTCAGGATCAAGAATTCATCCCTTCCAATTGTGAGTTTGGAAGTTCTGCATTTATAAGGGAACAAGGTATTTAAACTTAATCCAATTACTACTTTTTCAAATTTCTGGGCTTAGAAAAAGCTTAAGCAACTCTGCATGGGCTGTGCTTACTCCTTTCTTATGGATTCCACTGAATTTCTGAAGATGTGAATGTAGAGCTGCCCTTTTCTTACTGGACACAATCTATAGCTAAAAAAGTCTCTCAAAAGTTAGGTTTTTCTTATAAATGTTGTTCTCTAATTTATACCCCATTACTTGTCTGGTACATAAAATCTCTTCTCATACTCCTAGGTGCTTTGAGACAGGGCTATCTTTAAACACTCTCCTTGCACTTAAGTTATTATCTGTGCACACTCAGCTGGTACTTGTTTATAAGTATTCTGTTGTAATTCAGTTTATAAAGACTGCTCATTTAAAGTCTTTTTGGAGATTATTTTTTTTAATAGAAGGCATGTGAGCTCAGTTCATCTGAGAAGTTCATGTCTAATCTTCAGAGAAACGAAATCAAGTTTGCAAGATTAATAGTTCTAAAATACATGCTGAATTAAACTCTGAAACTGTTCCAGTCATAAATCATGAGATCTTATGGTCTTGGTGTTTATAGAGGGCACAAAAGACCTGTCTTGGGCTTTTTGTGTCAGAGCTATTGTATAGGTTCAGATACACAGTATATGAAGAACAAGTCTATTAACTTTCATAAGCTTTAATGCTGACTTGATTTGCAAACTGTATTTAACTTGATAGGTGATTCTCCACGTGGTGTGAAGACTTGCCTTTCTGGAACAAGTATCATGCGAGGAAGAGGAATTATTCGATTGCTGAGAAGTGCATCGGATCTGTCCAAGTCTTTCAGCAATTGAAAATCTTGTTTACATCCAGGACAGCTGTAAATTCTGATTTTCCTTGTTTCTCTAACATAACTAGCAGTTTCTCTGAGCTGTTTTTCATCTTGTGTGCAACCTTTGACAGTTGGAAGTTCTTGTTAGAAAGATAAAACTATTGACTGGATTTAAAGAAGACAAAAATCTCGTCTATTATCTACAGGAAGACTTATTTTGAAAAGATTTTACAGTTGCATCCTCTCTTTAAAAATACATGCCATACTAGTTCTGTTTCTTAATGGATGGAGTGCAAATTCAAGATGAATTAGTCAATATAATTGGATTAGAATAATTATTTAGTGGCCAACGTGACTTTAAACAAGGGATTTATTTCTTCTTTAATAACCTTCTTCCCCGCTTCTGCATGTGGAAGAGAGAATTTCAGTGCTTAACAGTCCCTTTCAAAAAAATGATGGGCAGGAGCATTGGAGGTATCAAGGGCTGCACTAGGGGAATTTAAGGTGTAATGTTCTCAAAGGTGTGCTCATAATCTGTCATTTCCAGCCATGAAGAATTTGAGTGGTCATTTGAGGCAGAAAAGCAGACCTTCAATGTCTTGGAAGAAATATGATGGCAAATTTGTCCATCTCTTAATGTTCTTTTAGAGAGACAGACTATATACATCAGGAACAAGTACAACATAAATAGAAGGTTTTCCTTTGCATCAGTTTTCTGTTTAAATAATGCATGTCCCTCGAACAGACTGAAGTGTAGGTGTTACAGGGTTGTTTGTTTTTTTTTAAAGGAATATAAAATTCTAACTGATATTATTAATATTCAGATATAATTTCACAAGTTTAGTTACACTAGGTAGATACCAGTCATAATCATTTGAGGGCACTTAAAAACTGGGAGACTGATGTATCCCTAGGAAGTTAGGCTTTCTGTTTTATGGAGGTACAAGTCTTGGACTAGTCCCAGAACGTTACCTGCTGTCTGAGCCCATCCTTTGTCCACATGTCTTTAAGCAACTGATTCTCAGAAATAAGAGCTTATTTTTTTGAGTTGTTTCTACATTTTGTTCCAGCCAAGGTTCAGTTGTGAAATACTATTTCCATAGCAACTAAGTGTGAGAAGATACTGATTTCATTTCATGTAGGAATTTAAACTGAAAAGTAGGTAGTCCGTGCTTTTGGATAATAGGAAAAAAATTAAAAAGCCAAAGCAAATGAACTTGACCAAACAAAACCCAACCAAAATAAGAGGTCAGCACATTCATTAATAAATTCAAGCATGGTGATCAGTCTGTCAAAAAAGGCCAATTGCTGGTTTAGTTGGAAACCTGTTAATGGTTGCTGTGTGGCCACTTGAGGCCCTTCTTCCAGTATTGCAGGATGACAGAACCATTTTGATGCCTCTTACGTAACAGTTTGCTGATATCACTGATTATTTTTTTATTAGTCTGTGTTTGCTTCCTGTGAGGCTGTTGTTCTACCTGCTACATTTCACCAGGTAAGGGACAATAAATCTCTGAGATTGACTAATGAAGCATCTGGGATGTTGTAACAGTGTTAAGAGTGTCTAGTTACAGTGGTAAAGGCTTCTCTGCACTGGAATAGAGTTAAGTTGTAAGTTTCTTAAGTGACATCCGTTGCTGCCTTGACATTTCAAAACACACAGAACTGTAATATTTGAATTATTTTCAGAGGTCGGTGTTGCAATAAAAGTTTCATGTTTCAGTCCTAAAGAAGAGAATTAATTATTGATAAAGCATTCGGCATCAGTGTAAGTACACAAATCTAAAAGCATTTGTGACTATGCTTAAGGTATTATGTATTTTCAAGGCTGAGATAAAGATTGTGAGCAGAAGTGGAGAAAACCAGAGCTTTTCCACAAGTTAGTGTTAGTTAACCCAGAGTCAGGGTTCCATGGCATGTCTGTACCTTATCACCTGTGACTTAGTACATAAGCTGTAGAAGACCTAGTTACATGCTCTTGGCAGTGGGCTGTTAACTAGAGCAGTAAGTGACTTACTGTAATAGCCAACAACCTGTGATGTTTTTTGCAGTGAAAACTAAGATCTAGTGTAATGAGGACACTAACTTGATGTAGCCCATTTAATATTATTCTTCTGCTTATATTGAGGGAGGCCCCTAACAGCTTCTGGAGCATGATAGAAAATTCCTTCATTTTGGAGCTCTGCTTTCCTAGCTGTTCCGCCATTTGAAACTGGTTTCTTGAAAAATAACTTCTGCTTAATAAACACAATACAGTAATGCTTCTCTCCTTTAATGGAAGAGTAAAGATGAGGGAAAGATGGTGACTTGCAACCTTAGTGCACTCTGAAAAGCAAGGAATAGTACTGGTAAGGCACAACCTGTTGAGTCAAAGTCAGAACAAAATTCTTGCCACTTGAATAGTAAAGGCAGAACGGCTTTTGAGCAGAGTTTGAGTGAGGCAGCTTAGGACCTTTCACAGAATCACAATGTCAGGGGCTGGAAGGACCTCTGGAGATCATCTAGTCCAACCTACTAGAGCAGGATCCCCTGGAGCGGGTTATGCAGGAACACGTCCAGGTGGGTTTTCAATGTCTACAGGGATGGAGACTGCACAACCTCCTGGGCAGCCTGTTCCACTGCTCTGTTACCCTCAGAGTAAAGAAGTGTTTTCTTACATTTAGGTTAAACCTCCTGTGCACCAGTTTGTGATCATTGTCCCTTGCCCTGTCACTGAACACTACTGAGGAGAGTCTGACCCCATCCTCCTGACACCCACCATTTAGATATTTATAAGCATTGGTGAGATCCACCCTCAGCCTCCTTTTCTCTAAGCTAAACAGACCCAGCTCCCTCAGCCTTTCCTCAGAGGGCAGATGCTCCAGTTCCTTAATCACCTCAGTGGCCCTGTGCTGGGCTGTCTCCAGTAGTTCATTGTCCTTGAACTGGGGAGCCCAGAACTGCACACAATACTCTAGGTGAGGCCTCACCAAAGCAGAGCAGAGGGGGAAGATAACCTTCCTCAACCTGCTGGCCACACTCTTCTTAATGCTCCCCAGGGTGGCACTGGCCTTCTTTGCTGCAAGGGCACATTGCTGGCTGATGGTCAGTCTGTTGTCCACCATGATTCCTAGGTCTTTTTCGCCAGAGCTGCTTTCCAGCAGCTCAACCCCTCACCTGGACCTGCATGGGGTTGTTTTTCCCCAGATGGAACTCTGCTCTAGTGAGAACCCACCTGGAATACTGTGTACGGTTCTGGTGCCCTCAGCACAGGAAAGATAGGGACCTGTTGGAGAGGGTCCAGAGAAGGGCCACCAAGATGATCAAAGACCTGGAGCACCTCTGCTATGAAGGCAGGCTAAAAAAACTGAAAATTGAGAGAGGGGAGATTTAGGTTAGATATTAGGAAGAAATTCTTCACTATAAGGGTAGTGAGGAACTGGAATGGGTTGCCCAGGGAGATCGTTGATGCCCCATTCCTGGAGGTTTTTAAGGCCAGGTTGGATGAGGTTTTGTGCAACCTGATCTAGTGGTAGGGTTCCCTGCTCATGGCAGAGGGGCTGGAACTTGATCATCTTTAAGGTCCCTTCCATCCTTAGTGATTCTGTGATTCTAGTGTAACTTACCCAGACCTGTGACAGTAATGGGTGAAAGTCCTCCTGGCTTTGCATATGCATTGGAAAGTTAATAGGTGGTTTTGTTCTTGTTACACAAGTAAGTACATGAATTGTGCATTACTACTATCTACTATAAAGGTTTTGGCTAGGAGTCCAGCTGTCTGCAGGTCATAAAACCAAGATGGACTGTGGTGACAACTTTGCTAATCTAGTCTAGAAAACTGGTATATTAACCTGTAGTCACTTTCTTCTGTTACATTCTATTCAGAGAGTATGTAAGTGATACTGAAAAATACAGCATGTTCATGTAGAGTAAGCAGAAGTCACTGCTTCTATGTAGTAGAAGGTATGAATTTGACTTGTGCACTTCTGGCTTTTCCACCTTCTCCTTTCAATAAACTGTAGAACCTTAGTATGTGGAAGAAGTTCCTACTGACCACTATTTCCAGCTAAGAATATTCTTACAAGTACCTTGTATTTTGATTTAGCACAAATGTTCTCTTAAATATGCACACATATACTGTAGACAGAGTAATACCTGGGCTTGATGTCTTTAATCTTAAATCTGGATCCTGAATCCTGCTATCTCATGGCTACTGAAGCTAAATTTGACCCCCAGCCTTCACATCCTTGACCAGTTCTTTCTTGTTTCTAAGTATGAGGTCCAGCAGAGAGTCCATCCCCTCCCTGACTTCTCAATCACTTGGATCAGGAGTGTCACATTTCTCCCAGTTGTTTGAAGAAGGCCTTATGTACTTCTTGATAAGGCTGTCCACAGCAGACACCCACTAGTCTGCTCTCGATTCCTGACCTGTGAACTCCTGACTGGCTCATTGGCCATCACCAGGTGGAGCTCTGTGCATTCCGACTGCTCTCTCACATAATGAGCAACTCTCCTTTCTCATTTCTCAAGTGAGAGAAAACAAGCTGGACAGTAATAGATATGTGGAAAGAGAAGCCTAGGAATCTCTTCACTCCTGAGTCTTCTAGCCTGCGTTATAACTATTTAAGTGAGAGTGTTTGTTGTGTCTAAAGTAAAATTAATCTCTTTATTCCATCTCTAGCAATCTGTCAGTCATCAAAATCTTATAAAGTAGAAGGAAGGCAGTAATTTGGTGGGGATTTTATGGGTGGAGGGTCTGTCAAATATTAGGTGTTAGATTTTGCTGTTCAAATGCATTTCAAATGCATTTCAAACCGGAGGAAGCTGTGCTGTGATCCTTGATCAAACGGCAGAGTGGATACTCATTCCACTGGGTGTGTTCTTTGTTAGCTACCTAGGGTGAGGCTCATGTAGAGTCATACCCAAGTAGAAAACTTGCTTCTATTTCAGAACTCTTGGTTGTGAGCCATGACAGTCAGATGGTGTTGTGCAGAAGGTCAGATTCTTCTGAATAAAAATTTGTGTGGGGTGACTGAAAACCCA